TGCAAATATTGGTATTAAAATATTTGTAATACGTTACACGCACTCAAAGATTACTCGTGTTAGAGCAGCATGAAATATGTCTCGAAAACTTCGTTAATGACTCTGTGGAAATAAAACTACTGAGTAATATTAGACCGTGTTTGCATCAGCAGGCTTAAAGTAAACGTTTAGTACACTTCAGTAGCGTTTCAACATATCTTGCTGTCCTTCTGCTAGGGGGAGTTATTCTGAATAGTCACGAAAACAAAATTTAAGACAGCCATCTTTGTACCTTCATGGTAGTAAAAAATTGGTCTGCCATAAAAATCAGACCTTTGAGCTTCGTTTAAAATCACTGAATTTGATTTCAAAACACATAGGTAATTGCAAATTACTCTCATAATATACGGAAAATATAATGCGTTTGGCTCTCTGGCTTTTATTTTGATAGTCTTGGTGTGGACCGACACAAGGCGAATTAACACACATCACACTCTACTTAAAAATGAGTTCCTACCTTCGTTTTGCAATCTGCTCCAATGTCACTGGTGACAGGTTTACTAGAAAAGTGGGTCCAGCTTACAGCCACAAATACACACGCTTAATTCTATTATTAAGTAACTGCACATAATATCAAACATTCGGGTAATAGAAGTATTGCCATCACACATCACACATCCACCAACAAGCGTATCACACAAAACTTATTCCAAGGCGAGCACTTTATAGGTCGTGGTACGTACGTACAACCTGACCTTGCGTTCTCTACTAACAGCCAACAACAAATCTGCAACCACTTCGTTCTCTCTAGCAGTGCATGATGGGTAATCGCGTGGTTCTTCGAGTTGCCATACCACGGCACAGATGGCGCTGTAGCGTACGGTGAAACTAAATTAAGACGTGTTTGCTATTCGTCTTAGGTCACGTATTTCACCTGCAGGGGAGCTGTATGGAAATCCTAACATATTCCTTGTGAAAGTGTCCTAAATGCACCAGTTTCGGAAATTAATGACGAGGAATCTTTCTCCAAAGGGTACAAATTGGGTTGGTTTATCTTCAATCTGTATGTTACTAAACATAGGGGCGATATCGTTACATTAACAACTTTAACGTTCATATTTCTGCTCTCTGACATTCGCTGTTGTGGGCTTGTTGCCCATTTCATAGCCCTTTTTTTGGAAAGGACACCCCCTCCAGAACCATCAGCCTGCCACCACTGGCTGGATGAGAAAGAATTAACAGCAAAGTCCTCACACCTGTGCTGACATGGGGACTTCCACCACGACTTGATCTCATAAAATAATTCAGAGGGGTTACTCTACCAGAAATCACCTTACAATTACAAACCTGATGAAAAAGTGACTTGCCATGCGAATAACTGCCCATCGTCCCCCACTATGTACCACGCACGTGGAGATATGGCTACACGGCTTCGAGAGAAAAAGAAATATTTCCATATGATGTCAGAGCATAGTGAATTTTAGTTAAGTCATAATGGCAAAGTTGTGAATGGGGTATGATTCCATTTCTTTCTTAACCTCCGCAATGGAATTGGGCCAAGTCACCATTTTGATACTTTACCCCTGTGAGGAGAGTTAACGGAACCCAATGGAGAGGAGACTGGTGGGCTCTGTAGCACATCTGGACACGACAATAAAGTGAAAACTCAACTCTCAAGTCGGTCGCTTTACTGACTAAGCAACCTCAAATATGAACAAAAAATAAACTGATATGTTGTCTAAAATGAAGAAATTCTGATAATACCAAAATATTTTCACAAATATGACTGAATCTTAGAATCTGTTGGTCGAAACATCGCTTGTCGGATGGCTGCTACCTGTCGCACAGCTTACAAACGAAATCTTTCCAATGTTTGGTTCGTGGTCTCCTGAATCTGCATCTTCTACTTCATTTTCCAAGACGCCGTTCATCAGAGAAGACCTTAACTTTCGCCTGACACTTGGGGGTCCTGCATCATGACAATTGCCCTGCTCCAGACACGCCTGCTGTCCGAACACCTTCGGCCACAAAACTAATACTGAAATTGGACCATCCACCAGATTTGGCCCACTGTGACTTCTGGCTACTCCTGAAACCGAAGACCACTTTGAAGTGCCGCAGATTTTCAGACATTGCCAACATTCAGGGTCATCCAATGACCATCCTGAAGAGAATTAAAAAAATACGAGATCCGCAAATGCTTCGAGAAGAGGAAACGCTGATTCGCGAAGCCTACTGATGTGATGTGCGAGATGACAACTCAAAGGTGAGAGCAACCATTAGTGTGCAAGTAATCAAATAGTTTTTTATGGGGACATTCTGGGACCTCAGCTGTCACGTCTCGTACGACAGGCAGCAACATGTGATAAAACTACCGGCATGTTACGTATTTCAGACGGTGTTGAAGGTTTAAAATGGATTCTACGAGAAAAGTGCTTGAAAGACTGTACAATCGCCTTTTGACGATGAACGTAGCTGGCACACTTGCAATACAGAGGAGGTAAGAGCTGCACAACACTGAAAGACTCGAGGATATCTGCTGGATTATTGGCATCGATGACAGTCGCTTTGCTTGCGGCATGGATGCTAGTGCATATCCACACTAAACTGGACAGCTGTATCTCTAGCTCCTGGCTTTCTCGACACAGATTCTCTCCTTTCTGGAAAAAGACACCATTTTCTGAATGGGAGAGAATATAATGGAAACATGGTTGAGTTACCTGCGCAATTAACAGGTGTTTTCGGCTATTCTAACACTTCTAAAAATTGCAATAATCCCGGTAATTCTTGAAATATATCACCACTAAAGGAAATCCTATGTTCACCTTTTTGATATTTTGCCCACAACTCACCAATACCATGAAGATATCCGTCTTCTGGGTTATTGCGCTGTGTAGTCTGGTCGATGTTAACCAACGTTTCAGAGGTCATACTGCCTCCGTCATCAGGGCGATGAATATGCCAATAGGGTGTGAGGAGCTGGATTTATAGGCCGGGAAGTGAAAGGTGTAGCCTGCCCCGAGCCAATGGGAGCAGGTATGGGAGTGGACCAATGGTAGCACGTGGGCGAGAGTGGGAGAGGGAGAGAAAGTAGAGAGAGAAAGGTGAGTTTGGTTGTATGGATAAGGGCCCTGAGAAGGGCCCAGAAGACGGATATCTTCATACTCACCGCTGTGAGAACCTCAAGTCTTACACCAATACCATATTTACACAAATACTTCACACAGATTTTTTTTTAATCACTTTACTAGGCATCTGAACTCGGCTCAGTCCAGTATGGCTTGGTTTATGCAAAAGGATGGCAAAGCAGGTTTTCTCTGTTTGAAAACACTTCTGCGGAGTCTTACAGTCAATCCTGTTATGATGTACTGTGGATTAGGTTAGGTTAGGTTAGGTGAAAATAATAGCTTACACTCAAGGATCTTAAGTAAGCTAACTCAAAATCATAAGAAAGTTGTACTCGTAACAAAAAAACAGCTTCAGTTTATTGAAAAACTTCAGAAGAGAGAATCAGCCAAAGATTATAGGGGTAGGGACTGAGTAATTACATCCATGAAGTGACCCTCTCAGAACTATTGCCTATGAAAATTACAACAAAACAGGATTATGGGAAAAACAGTGTTGAATGAATCCAGTGATGTCTTTTCCCCTTCATTAGCCCAGATAATTGGATGTTTACTGTATACTATCAAGTTAATAGTCATACGAAGCAGAATACCCTGAGTTCCTGATCCAGGTTTTCTACTTCACTGCCAGTTGCCTTCTCTGGAATTTCCCCTTCACCCTTTTCCATGCTCTCGGGTCGACTTGTAATATAGAACACGCTTGCTCCCACAAAATTACCACCAACATGTGTACGGACTCCTTGCAGATTTACCCCAGCTGCACACCAAATCTGCCAGAAAAAATTATATCAACTCAGAATTAATAAACACGACATACAAACTCTTTCCAAACTGCAGGAAATGCGACATACAAAGTACACTCAGAATTTTACACAGTGGGAACAAAATCATGACTCCCAAGTGACCAACTGATGTGAAAAGAAATAAACAGGAGACACTTATTCTAAAGTTTGTCGCGCTGTTTCAACACTCAGTAACTGCCTCCAAATCCTAAAAATTAGGTAAGATTAAATACGATGTTCCAGAAATAACTTACTTTAAAACATATAAGATATTGTAGGTGCATCATATTGTGATTTATTAAATAGTATTAAAAATATATTAAAATTGGCCGTCAATCACAATATAAGATAATTAAAAGATTAAAATATCATTTTACGTTCCGTATCGAGTACTCGATTTACATGTGGAACATTTACGACATGTTTCGGCTATATATAGCCGTCATCAGGTGTTATGTTATAAACTTTTTAACTGAATTACTGATAAAAAAAAATGAAAACTAAAAATCATTAAAAATCAGTAATTCAGTTAAAAAGTTTATAACATAACACCTGATGATGGCTATATATAGCCGAAACATGTCGTAAATGTTCCACATGTAAATCGAGTACTCGATACGGAACGTAAAATGATATTTTAATCTTTTAATTATCTTATATTGTGATTGACGGCCAATTTTAATATATTTTTAATACTATTTACTTTAAAACCATGAATTTATATCAAGTAGCTGATGAGACATTTGAGTTGTACTATATTAAACAAAAGGGGCCTGGGCATTTAAGAAAGTACTGCATCGTCGTGCCACGGATTTGGACGCTCATGCTACGTAATCACAAGAAAATACGAACAATTAAAAGACTGTAAGACTACAAAAAATGTGTGAAATGAATGATACAGTGGTATGGACACAGGTATAAACGTACAATACAGTACTTCTGAAAAAAGCGAGACCTTAAAAGATTAATTGACTAGACGGAGATAACATGTGTGGTCTGTGCAACCGAACTCGCAGATCCTGGAAATTCCAACCGTACGCTTGTAGCCGTCCGTCATCCTTAAGAACACGGGCTCTCACCTGTCTGTACCGTTCTCGTCTCTCAGTTGCACGGCGAGCGGCGAGCTTCTCTGCAGATCTGGTATCCGTAGATAATAAGACTTATATTTTCTCAAAGTACTCCACGGACGCAATAAGTTAGTTACTCAGTCACCAACTTCGGGTTATAAAGAAGGGAGGTAATTTCTTTCCTAGCAAATGACGCTTCTCAAGGACTCCACTTCATTGAGTTTGTTATGGAGGTACGCAAAATCATAACAACCATTAACCTATTCGAAGACACTAGCACTTCTGGACATATGGAACAATCACTCCTACATCTTTGGTATGTTTTATTTTAGATTTACTTTTATTTTATTTTTATTTATATTTTATTGTTACTTTCTAACTATAATTTATATATTTTGCATTTTATTCTCTAAATTCTTTTATAAATTCTTTCAAATTCTTTAGTGTTTCTTTCAATCTTCTACTTACAGACCGATATGTACATCTAATAAAATTTAAGAAAAGACAACACCTTCGCCCAAAAATGGAAAAACAAACGTAATGAAAACATCACCAAATGGAATCATATTTGAGTTTTAAGTTCTTAGATATTTTACACCTGATGATGGTTTTATAAAAACCGAAACATGTTGTGTAAATGTTCCAAAATGTAAATCGATCAATCGATATGGAACATCAATGATATTTTATTATCTTAATTATAAGAAATTTTAAATATTGTGATAAGACGGATTAAAATAAATAATCATTAACCTGAAGTCCTGCATCCTGCACACTGTGTAAATGTTCAAAACTGAATTTTACTGTTCCTGTATATGAATAACATGATTCAGCTTAAGAAAGACAGGAGAATGGATATGAAGATTTGACAGTGCCACAGTTTGTATAGCACTTTCCTCCCCTGTCAAAATCACAGCAACTATGCCAGGTTATATGATTCTCAATATAAATGTAATCAGTCCTTTACAGACAGACAGAGGACTTCTAAATATACATATCTAGAATATGTAAGATACAAAGTGCTCCCAATCTGTTTTGCTGGGTTTTCGGACCTCGTCCGTCGTCTGACGTAAAAGTACACAGTGTTCTGGGAACTCATCTGTCCTCGTCTTCAGGTGTGGTGATAGGGACGGGCACATACTCTGTGGGGTCCGTCAGAATGAGCAAACCTCAATCACTAGACAAGGCCCCAAAAACTCAACAATCCAGATTGTATTACACCATTGTCAGAACCCTTCAGAATAGAAATGCTCACAGTTCGCCATCCATGAAGTCAAGACCACGTTTGCGATCATTTAGCGAGCGCTTCCTCGTGGTGGGCTCACAAGGTGCGTAGGTGCACTGTAGCGCACATTAACATAAGGCTGAAGTTTTCATTGAGGTCCTTCTGTTGCGCTGAACAAGTTGCTACAACTGAAAACAAACACAATTATCAGTCACTGTAAATTTTATTAACATTTGAAAAGAAAAATTCACTTTCACTTCTTCACAGACGTCGGCAGGTGATGACTCTATAGGAAATTGATGTCAAGTAAAGTCCCAAGCCTCAAATTACAGGAACAAAAACAAAGCATACAAAAGTTCACTCCCACAAACACTAAAAGATGCAAGACAGGTTTCAGGTTGTCTCAGTCCGAGGAACGCGCAATGCTGTACGTACTGACTGATGCCTGAAGCACAAAGAAATGCATGACTCACTTTTCAGAATCATAGGGAGGTGGAAAATGCAAACACACACACACATTAAAGTGCTTGAATTAGCGGTGGAGACAGAGCTCCATACATTCATAACTCTGGCAGCAATTGGAGGTGTCTGGTTCCGACTGCTTTGTATGCACACTAATTACTGCTTCCGAGATGCAATCTCTGTTTGGAGGAAGGGGAAACTTTATTAAAATACTGAATATTAAAACAAAGAAAAATGCTTAACAAATTTAACATAATTCTCTTTCAAAGAAAAATTAACAATTATTTATTTTAATCCGTCTTATCACAATATTTAAAATTTCTTATAATTAAGATAATAAAATATCATTGATGTTCTTGATGTGTAAATGTTCCGAAATGTAAATCGATCAATCGATATGGAACATCAATGATATTTTATTATCTTAATTATAAGAAATTTTAAATATTGTGATAAGACGGATGAAAATAAATAATTGTTAGAATATTCACAATATGACGCAATTACACTATCTTATGAAAGAAAAATTAGTTAAATGCAAATGATAACACACCAGAATACTGAATTTATCAAGTGTCAAGATATGCACATTTCCTGTCTCGCCCTCACACAAACAAACTTCTGAAATAAAATAATTATATGGTATATATGGAGCTCCAAAACAGACAAAACATGCAAAGGTGAAAACCTCAAATCTTATGTAAAAACCTTTAACTCTCAGCATATCCATAAGTCATCTAACCAAAAAAAAATAAGATTATCCTCCGCAGCACACAGAATATAAATCACACTTACAATTTCCATATGTGGTATCATTCAGACTGGCTCGAATCATCTCTGTCCAGCGAACGGCTTCCTGCATTTAAATTAATCGTTCCTTGTACTGGTTCCTTTCCGTTAACACTCGCGTCATTTCTACCCTCATGAAAAGCTTCCTCTGTGCCATTGGGACATCCTCCTGCTTGCAAGAGAAACAACATTTTTTTGATTCCCAGAGCAGTTTTTTTAGTATTTAGAACACATGAGTAAATTTAACACTTTGCTCCTCTTTGACAGAACATATTAAAATGGCACCGTACCTCTTATCATATAAAAAATCGGTCTAATCTCATTTAAAATTAAAATACTCAGTAATGAAACAAAACTGATGGCGCCACGAAGCAGAGATTTAAAAGGAACAGGCAAAGTGCTTCTAAAAAATAATGACACACATACTTCGTCATCAGATTTGGAAGCCTTAGCTGTGCGTTCTGCTTCTTCACGCACTCTTTTCAGTTCCTCCTCCAGCTCCTGGATTCGTTGTCCCAGCCGGCCCCTTACAGCGTACTGCGACTTGAATTCCTTCCGCAGAATTTCCTGTTCACTGCAATAGCAGAAGTTCCGTTTCATTTGTGTCAAATAAAATCCTAACACATGAATAATATACATACAGGTCAGAAAGAGAGAATCACTTACAACAGTAAATGACCAGGTGTTTGCTCCAGAAGTGATCTTTATAACAAATTAACTAATTCTCTGTTAACACAACCTGAAATTGCAACATTGATAATAACAAAGCTTATCTCTAGGCATGATCCTGAACCAATTCCATTTGCCTAACACTGCCATAACCTATTTCCTTAGGATCTAAAGAGCAGCTTTAAACAATGAAGATTTCTGTCTTCTGGGTTGTTGCGCTGTGTAGTCTGGTCGATGTT